CAGCCGGAGCCGACTAGAGCTGGTCAGTTCCTGAACCGGCCTGGTTAAAGATCAGAGTCCTCGCACTGAATCAGGATCCACAAATCCAAGGTCTAAATTAACCCAAATCTTTCCTGTCCTCTGGCAGACTACGGATAAAAGTACACAAGTTAGCGAACACACCAAAAAAAAAAAAAAAACAGCAGAATCACCGAAAGTGCTGCAGACTCAGACGAGCCGGGTCGCTCTTTGGGTTAATAAACAACCGGCAATATTGTGGAATCACTTGAGTTGAACATAGATTTTAACATACACACATATAGATAACATACAGTTAACACAAGGTAACATTTTGTGCAACGTGACTGACTCAAGTGAACCGGGTCATTTTAGTGACTGATTCAGAACAAACTGAATCCATAAAGTGAACTGAATTTACTAACTCTAGAGCTGACATGGCAGGTTAATATCCTCAGAGAAATAACGTTAATAACTGACTTTATGTATGTGAATGTTTGCGTTCAGTGTCCTGAGATGACTTCTGTTGTGACTTGGCGCTGTATAAATAAACTGAATTGAATTAATGCTAACGTTAGTATTTTGATATTCAGATGTCTTTAATATAAAGCAGCTTCCCTCCTCTGCTTGGGCTGTTTATCATATATTAAAGAAGTGTGTAGATACTAAACTTAAATGTCTATTGTTAAGTCAAAATAATAAAAATATGTAAAAATAAAAGATATGTTGAAAATCACAAGGTAAACCGACCTCGATTCTAACCGTTTCATTGCTGTGCAGCTATTTTTTTTTATTATTGGCACAAATACTACAACTATAAAAAACTTTTTATTTTTCTTTACAGAAATGTTGTGCAACAGGAATTAGGTGTTATTAATTCAAAACATGTGACCCCTGCACAAGCTACAGAGCAAAAAAAAAAAAAGAAGAAGTGAAAATACAGTTTTTACTGTAATTGAGTTTTAATGAGTCCATAAAGAAACCATCTAGTGATCCAAGGAATTAAAAAAGCATTTTCTCATCCTAATCTACTTTTAAATTGACGTTTTCTAATGTATGTCATTAGAAATAATCCTTATAATTCTAATCTTTATAATTTCTTTTGAAATGACTTTTTTTTTCTGCCAGGAAATCCCTACGTATATTTTCCCTCATTGCAAAACTTGGGGGATTCCCATTTTGAAATATAGGACTGGAACGCTTGATGATCCCACTCCAGACCAAAAAAAAAAAGTGCTTGTCAACCCCGCACTCTCACAAACAGACTTATTTAGAGATAAATCGACAAACTTCAACAAACTACAGAACATTTTGAAGCTTTTGATGAAAATAACTTGAAAATACTGCTTCAGTATTGAAATATTCCTCAATACGACTCGTTTGGCGAGCAGAGGTCAGTCCATGTGTGTTGAGCTAGTGCACAAAATGCAAATCATCTCTCCGTCCCGCAGCCCCCGTTCAGTTTACTGTATTGTGAGCAGGATGTAGTTAGTGAGGGAGCTTTTCAAACACAGACCAGGCTGAAAATGTGACGAGCTAACCAGCCGCTCTGAAGGGCTGCCGCTGTCACAGCACCAACATCTCAGCTGGTCAAACCTGGTTTAGATGCAGCACCAGAAGAAAAACCGCATTTACAGACGTTCCCCGTGAGATGTGAACGCAGCACAACTCCAGTGGCTCTCAGGTGAAAACCGTCCAATGAGGGAGCAGAATACTGACCTCCGGGTCCAAAGACGGCGATGATTAATAAGCTTAGAGGAAGATTTATGGCTCGAGCAGGAAAGGAGGGTGAAAGGGAGCGCGCGTTCTTTTTCTTTTTCTAATTTTAGCCCCAAACGCACCGTGAAAAATCTGATTCTAGACCAGGCGGACAAACTGATGAACGGCTAATGAGCGATTGCACACGTTGGGTTCCTGCAAATATAAAGAGGAACCCACGGCTGAACCTGTTTTTGTTTAAACAGGCACATAGTTTTGATTCCTCCGTGTAAACTCGGTACGTCGAGGTTCGTGGTACAACGCGAAGAGCTGCGCATGAATGTACAATGTACAACAAACTGAACTGAAATGACTTCTATAGCTCCTTTCTGTCTTATCAAGACATTCAAAGCTCTTTACAACACAATCTGTGCCCTCATTTACCCGTTCATACAGCTAGACCTATACAAAGACTAATCAGAGCGTTAGCACATTCATACACTGATTGGACACACATCGGAGGCAATGAGAGGTTCAGTGTCTTGCCCAGGGGCACCTCGGCATGTGACTGCCGGTGGAATCGAACCCCCAACGCTCGCATTGGAAGACGACTGCTCTAACCGCTCAGATTTCAGTCAGCCCGGTGAATCAGCCCGTCTAATCAAAGGTTTAGGAGACATGAGTGGTTTTTTTTTTTCTTATTTGGGCATTTTAGGTGAATCAGAAGTAAAAATGTGTAGATTTAGAAATAATTACTGGTTAAAAGTTTGACTTGAACCTTTAAAGCTTTAGGTTGATAATATATATGCAGTGCGGATTAGAACTCTTCACCCACTCATTAAATCCTAAATTAGTGCATTTTCTATAATAGAAATAGCCTTTTTCCCCAATTTAGGCATTTTTATAACTCCAAGCAGACAATACTTTTATGAAGGTTTTAAACCCGACTTACAGCGGCATTAAAACCTCACAGAAAGATTTTTAAATTCTAATTCTGACCTTCAAAATGCTTCCAGACATGCACAGCCAGTTCCAGCTGTTTTACTCTAAAAGGGTAAGGCGTGTTTTTGAATGCAGACGTACATTTTATCTTTCTGAATGCGCAGAATTTGAAAACAAAATGTATAAAACCTAGAGTTAAAATCAATAAAAGGCTGACGCTGTCGTCTTTGTCCTCGGGCGACAGCAGGTTGAATCAGCCGGAGCCGCCTTCACCCAGAGGACCGTTTGAGCTCTGCCGCCTGACTGTCGTACAAAAAAATAAAAAAAATAAGCCTCATCATCGTCGCAGCCTCCTCTCAAGCTCCTCTTTGCATGAATCGAACTTCCAGCAGGGGACCAAACTGTATTTAAACTCCTTTGTCAGTAAAGTTTTCTAGAAAGGCAACAGAAACTAGCGTCTATACGTATCCAACTCACTTTATCTAACAAAACTAAAATGTGAAGAAAGAAAACTGCAGATGTGATTTTAACATTTCTACAGTAAAATACTGTTAAAATCTGAAGATGTAGAGTCTAAAATGATGGATGGTGTTTTTGTTGTACATTTAGCCATTATGGAAGGTGGGCAGTCATGCCTGTCTGTTAGCGAAATATTGGACGGATTTTAACAAAACTCTAAAATTAATCACGACTTTCTGAGTCAACCTAATTCAAGATGGTCGTCACAGCTAATTGATCTAAACAAACAAAAATGGCAATAACTCGGTCAATTTTAGGCGTAGTGAGCAAAACTCCTGTTTGGTAGTAGCTGAGAGTCATCCCTACCTCGTACTCCAAGCAGTCACGTGACGCCTTTATTTAAAACTTTGTCAAACAAAGCGGCAAACAATCTGAAGTATTTCAAGAAACGCTTTCATTTGAACAGACTATCCACCGTTTGTGATTCCGTCAAAAACTATTTGTTCTAAAATGGTTTTATTTTAAATTGGCGGCACGGTGAAGCAGCGGTCATAACTGCTGCTTCATTGCACGAAGGTCCCAGGATCGTCTTCCGGTCGGGGGACCTTTCTGAGTGGAGTTTGCATGTTCTCTTCGTGCATGCGTGGGTTTTTTCTTGGTACTCCAGTTTCCTCCCACAGACCAAAAACATGCATGTTAGGCTGATTGGTAACTCTAAATTGTCCCGAGGTGTGAGAGAGTGAATGGTTGTTTGTCTCGTTTGTCTCTATGTGTCCTTGTGATGGACTGGAGACATGTCCAGGGTGTCCCCCACCTCTCGCACAGTGATGGCTGAACATGAGCACCAGCGACCCGTAAAGTCGAGGAGAGTAACGAAAATGAACGGATGGTTAGTTCTTTCTATGTTTTTCTAAATGAACAAAATATATGTTCAGATTCCTGAAATGTTGATTTTGGCACCCCGATCCTCCTGATATCATTTCTCGAAATGTGGCTTGATTTGTGTTGCTTATTAGGACCACCTGTAGAAAACTGGTCTGAATCCCATTTTTAACACTAATAAGGACTTTGACAACATCTGGACCTTTTTACAGTTACCAACGCTCGAGCTCAAAGTCAGTATTTCACGATGCTGAGGTCTGGATGGCATCTCGCCTCCTTCCAGTTTGTTGAAACACACTTAGTCCAAACAGTGCTCACATTTTATTCTGTTTTAGCTGCTCTGCAGTCATTCAGACACCAGGCAACAAGTCGCCATCACATCGTAAAATACCAATGAAACTAATTTACGAACACCTTTGTATATTAAAGCAGGTGTAAAGCAACAGAAGACTAGAGTTGCACGCCAGCCAGAAACTGCTACTGAAGCACATGGTGCCCCTTTTTAAATATGCCCATTAGTAACTGGAAAAATGTCAGTCTGGATCTCAGGATTTCCCAACTGGTATTGAAACTAGTGTTACTAGTACAGAAGTAAAGGAGCAACTGTTTAGAGCTTTTCTGCTCAACATCCTGGTTAGTTGCTGGTACTGTTCAGAAAAGGGCTTTAGGAAATTATTTAGGATTATATTCGAGACATTTTATTCAAGGGACCCAGAGTTAAGGAATCTATTCTTCATATTTTGACTAAATCTAATCGGGTTCGACGTGACGCGTCAAAAATGAACAACGTGACACGATGGTGTCGGCATAAATCTAAACTTTAGAGGCTAAAAAGGAAATTCTAAGATCAGAGATAAGAGTTTCTCTGAAAGTGCAGAACAAGCTGCAGTTAGTTCAACTAAACTAGGAGACGGTTTAATCCAGTTATTTTTAAAATCAGAGACAGAGGCTGGAAACCGGACCGGTGTCAGAAGAAGAAGAGGAATGTTTCTGAGAATTTCTGGCCCAGCACGAAGACGTACCCTGGAGACAGTCGGGGCAGCATCGACCTTCCTTTATGACGGTCAGGGTGCCCGGTGGGCAGGTGGGGCAGGAGTGGAGATAACAAGTCACCTGGGCATCACGGCATTCGCATTCCCGACACCTGCCACCGCTCCAACGAGCCCGGTTCTGAAAGAAGACACAGGACGGCCTTAATGAGAACAAGTGGAACTGATTTAAATGTATAACCCAGACTCAGTGGAGACACTTTTCAGAAGAGGAAGAGAAACCAGCCTATTTTTTGTAAAAACACAACAGTTGGACAAAGTGAAGCGAAACGGAAATTAGAGATCTAACTTTTGTGCAGAGCGTTTTATAGGGCAAACTAATTCACAACAAGACAAGTGGTACGCCGATGAATAGTGAACATTGGTAGTTTGAGATGTTTTTCTTTTTTTTTTTTCTGAACTGGACTTGAACAGGGAATGCACGTGAACCTAAATGTTTTTGGTGAAAGATATTCAAGTGGGTAGAAGCTACACTGTGGAGAAGGAGAGGTAGTTTATTTTTTTATTTATCTTTTCTTGTCTGAGACAGCGCAGAGTGACGGATCCTGACGAGTGCAGGGAGCAATTTTACCCACAAACCAGGCGGAGCCAGGGGGTGGCCAATGGTGGCCTTGGCCACAATCATGAGGCACCCTATCAGCCACCACAGTCATTTGGAGAAACTTAACTTTTAAGCAATATAAAAACTAGAAAGCATAGTTTCCTCAAACGATAGGGGTGGTCTGTTTATACACACACACACAGACTATATA